TGTGTGTGTGTGTGTGTGTGTGTGTGTGTGTGTGTGTGTGTGTAATAGCCAGCTAGCGGGGACTTCTGCTGCCATCCTGGCCCCTCGCTGGCCCCCATCCCGACCACTGTTTCTGGTAGAATGAGACCACCATATCCTCCCTCTTTTGAGCCAAGGGAGAGCCAGGACACTTAGAAGTCCTGACAAAATATCTATCTTTGCTCCCAAGCATCTCCCAAGCTCACACTGGATGCGGGTCTACCGGGAGACACAGTGGGATTCAGCAAGCATGTCTGGGGCACCGTCTACACCCCAGGCCCTGGGCTGGTGCCCTGAGCGAATCGACCGGGGCCTGAGGATGGTGGTGGGCTGGCTTACACCCCACTTCCAGCACCTGTTCCCGCTCCACCCTGGACTCAGTCTTGTTTCCACACTGCCCCTGCCGGACGGGAAAGGAATCGCAGGGCTCTTTGAAGGGCGGGCTCTAGCCTGGGTGGCCTGTGAGTCCTGGGAACACCCCTAAGTAGGGGAAATGGGTATCTGAGGCTAGCCCGCTCCCCACCCTGGGGGCAAGAGTGGGTTAGGTGGAGGAGACAGCCCCTTCCTGGTGCTGCTTTGGGGTGGCAGTCCCCACCCCCCACCCCGGGCCCCCATGGCAGAACACCAACTGCCCCAGGACGGCTGCCCTGGGGGCGTCCCTCACCTAGGAGGTCCCATTCCCACAGTCCTCCAGCGGGGCTTGGAGCCTGCCTTCCCGAAATACACATGCGAGTGTACACATACACAAGCTGACGACAACAACAAAAAACCCCAAGGAAACCCAGGCCAGAGCGGCACGCTGTCTGGAACATGGGGGTGGGGAGGGAAAGCTGAGGCAGGGGGGCCTGGGCTGTGACTCAGGCCCCAGGAAGCAGGCGACTCCCAAGATGGGCCCCCTCATGACTCACAGAGACTGCAGGCTGCGCAGCTCCCACAGCGCCTCTGCGGGGATCCCGCCCAGCTGGTTGTTCTGCAGCATTCTGTAGGGGAGAGAGCAGGGCTTAGAGGACCCACGTCTGGGGCAGTCTGCACAGGAGGCCTGCCCTGGAAGCCCCTGAC